CAAAGAATCACCGGTGCCAGAAAATGGATTGTAAAGCCTCTTCATTCAAGCTTGATGTTTACCATTCTTTCTCACCCAAATGCAACCCCCCCGCACTTTGGAACCGCCCAACAAAGACCGGGGAACATATAAACATGCATTGATTTCGACATTGGAACAGCCCCCCCCAAAAAAGAACACCCAAACACTCCATGGGACTGCCATATATGCCCACATTGACCCCCTGGCACCACCCCTGGCCGTTTCTCGGCATCCATGGCAGTCTCATGGATTGCATGGGACAGGATCAACGTGCCAAACACGTCAACCACCGCGAACACGTTCGACCCTTACATCGCCGCCCGCGACGCCGAACAAAGGGGTTTCCGGAACGTCGGCCAAGGCGCCAGGTTCCGAGGAGCCGTGGCCCTCGCCGGAGCTCGCGCAGGCCCAAGCGCTGTTGCGCCTGGTGCCACTTGCTACAGAGCCTCAGGAACATGAAAAATTGTCCCCGAGTTTCGGTATTGGAGTGTACACTCGAACAGGAAAGCGTCAATGAAAATCAAACCTCTGAAATGCAACCCCTCCATTTGCCACAGCTGCAAATATTGATTAACACTCATCATAGATCAAGTCTTATAAATATATACATATAGGATTACATAGGTGTGTGTGCGTGTGAGAGAACGTTATCGTCTTGTGGAAGTACTGTCAAAAACCTGTTATGTGGGCTGTTGTCCAACCGGTGCTGTTGTCCATGCGCTCCCACTATCAAGTTCGGGAGACCTCTCAGTTCAACCCCCTGGAAGAAAGATAAAGAAAGGAACCAAATGACTCAAAAGGCATCGGATGGGCTACTTTTTGCACACCCACTTCCTTCCAAGATACTCGACCTCCCCGCTGCCGGAGCCCGCCAGCGCCAGCCGCACGAGCTTTCGTCCAGAGGAGTTCCGGTGTAGGCTGATGTTCATCCTCGGTGGAGTTGCGTAGGCGTGTACCCACGTGATTCATGTGATGAGCGAGCTGGGTGTTTTGCATTGCCCTAGGGATCCAGTCATGCCGAACCTCAGAAGCTACGACTGGACCCTCCAAACCTAGATACAGTGTCTCCAATGACCTTCTGAGAAGGTACGACTGGATCCCTAGGGTTGCTTTGCTCCAAACTCAAAAGTCAAGTGCTAAGACTTGCGGTGGAGCAACTCCGAATCTTAGCCGCAGCTGGAACACCAAAGTAGTATTGACTCTGTCTCAACTGTCTAATGAGGTTTGATGCTCAGCACGAACCGATTGTCCAAGATCTGGGCGCACCGGCCAAGCAAACGAGCAACGCATCTCTAAACAAAAACATTCCTGACGATTCTTTCCCTGCCGTGCAAGCGATCTCAAATTCTATGATATGCCTGTTTGCAACCATGCATTGCACCCCCCAAACCACAACAACAGCCACCACCCCGACATGAACATGAGCATGAACATGAAACAACACGCGCAAAAATGAAGGAACGGCCACATGCAAACAGCTGCTTCACCGCTACCTTCTTTGGATCAAATATGATCATATGCCCCTGCAACTCCCTGAAGGGCCAAGAAGACCCACCGTGGTTTTGCCCTTCACATGCGCATTCCTGTTGCTTCGCAATTTCGCGATCCAGCCAAACATGGCCCCTCTTCTCCAATAAAACCGGAAGAACCATGAAGAATCCCGGCCGGTCGGCAAACCGGCCGATGAACCGGGAGTTTGGGGAACGACATTCTCCGATGATCCGTCGAAACCGACTTCGAGTGCATTCCTCTTGGTGCTCTTGCAGCTCAGTGGTCGCGTGAGACCGGCAACAAAGACTGGAGCACGCACCCTTGGGGGTGTTTCCAAATCAAACGCCAAGTGTCAGGGCGATAGAGGGCGGTAGCCCTTCCTGCACCTGTTGACTAAGCTCCTTCATGGCAAAGGGCAGCTGCTCTGCACCAGAAACAATCAGCTCGACATCCTGGGCTTGGCTGAGGATTTGGGCTTTCTGTGCTGCGGAACTAGCCGTGTGTTTCGGTGTGTGTGTGTGTGGTTGAAGTGTGTTGCTTCGAAGAACGCTTCGGCACTGGCATAGGGAAGATCGCCCTCGCAGGTCCGATTTGCACCGACGAGTTGAGATCGCCGATCCGTCGTTCTGGAGATCGAAAACGGTGTTCAGGAGCGCCGTGGTCGAAGAAATCACCCCAACAGCGGCGGTCCAAGATCTGCCTCTGGCACACAGGTGTCGATCTGAAGCCAGTTGACGAGTTGAGAAAGGCCTAAGTTCCTTGGCTTCTTGAGAAGGTCTCCTTCCAACAAAGACCTTCTCTTGGAGTTCCCGTGGCTGCTCTGAATGTCCCCCCACTTCCAGTGGTTTCAGCGGTTCGATGGTGCACGTTGCCTTAAGTTCGGTTTAGAAGGACATCTTTGGGTGCCAGTGCCATCGAACCTCTGAAACCACTTCAATTCCTCTTCCAAACATAGGGCATCCACAAAGATACCATGTTATTCTTATAGATTCTTATATATAGCGGTCCCCAAGTAGATAGAAACCTGTAGAAACGGTGTCCAATCCATTTTTAGTGGGGATTTACTTTTCTGTCTGTTTGGGGGTCTATATATATATATGATATATCTACCTGAAACCACTCAGCCCATCAAACCATTCCTTCGTCCGAAGCGTCAACGATGCTGGCGGCCAAGATGAAGATCCGGCCGTCGAGGCATTTGGCCTCGACGGAATGCAGATCCGATTGGTCAAACATTGGTTTTGGTGAGGGATGGTATTGGAAACGATTGCAAGGGCCAAGCAATGGATGTTGGTATTGTATGTACTGTAATTGGCACCTTTGCTTGATACAACTTATTCAAACATATTCAAATTAGCTCGCGCTTGGAACAAGTTCCCGAGTATCGTTACGTTTGAGGGATCTGGAAATCAACACGGAATCCAGTTTTGGGGCGGCCGGTGGGGCAGTCGAGTTTGGAGCCGCACCCACGTCGCCCAGACTCGACCATGGAATTTCTACGTGAAGGCATGGTGCGTGATACACCTGGCTTCAAACCCTGTTGGGTGGAACTCGCAATGGCTCATGATGGTACATAATGGCCCGACTCCAGCAAATCATAGTCAGTCAAACACAGTGAAACCATGTTTTCGCACTGTTGCAAGGAATCTGTCAACCACAGAACCAAAACGCCAGTTGCGCAAGTCTCTAGGCAGGAAAGCACGCAATCACATTGGGATACTTCTTACAAGTAAGAACTGGTATCCACTCACACCTCACTTCTGTTCAATTCATTTCCCAACTCCAGGCCCACCCAACCCTTCATTGCGCTCGCGGCTAGATGGATTTTTTTTATCCAGCTGATACACCCACTGGCCCATCAGCTGGATTGTACAATGACGGTACACACGCGAACATGGATCCCCCGCCTCCCTAATTGCAGGAATGTCAACTCAGTCTGATCCATTTCTTGGGTTTGAAGTCTGCTTTCATTGATGGCCTTGGGCAGAGTTTGGGGGACCTGTTTGGAACCAAGCCTCACACACGAGTTCAGGTGGAAAAAAGGCCACCAGGTGGGCATCCCAACTCCTCCCCAACTCCGGGCGCGGGGGGTTTCGCGTTGCGCCCAGGAGCCCAACGACCATTCCAGCGTACCACCGGCTGCGGAGGCCGCTTCTCGGTGAAGCTGCCGCTGGCCATGGCATCGTCCACCGCGGCGGAGCCGACCGGTCGTCCGAACCGGTGAAGGAAGCCTCGATGACCCTCCGGTCCGGGTCTCGTCATTTGAGGACCGATCTGTTTTATTGAGATATATGCTATATTATACGGTACATGTGGTTGTTATCCAGCATGTAGATGCATATAGTACATATTGGGAGTTTGCTACACATATGACTTCAAATTGTAATATACACTATATTAGTACTATGACTATATCCATACTATATGTATATATGTGTTGGTCTAGAAAGCCAGCCTGCTGGTGTCACTCTGCCAACCTTTAGGGCAACAAAAACTGGTCTCCACGTGGCAGCTGCTCGCGTAGCGCCCTATGATGAGCGGGCTTTCTAGAGTTTTCATGGGGAAGTGTTACTTTGACCAAGGCCATGTTCCGTGTGCTTCAAGCGACTGATGGAAGCAGGGCATGTGATGGAACAAAACGAGCTGAACTCAACAAGCATCGTGTGTCCTCCCTGTGTTTGGCTTTGCCTATCATCTCCAACAATCCCCTCTGACCATCGCATCATATCGCATCTAATCTTTTGGCACTCCGACGGGAGTCCTGTGATTGGAACAGGCAGCGGGGGAGAGAGATTCGCCGGTGATCCAACCCCTGCGTCCACTCTCGTCGATGCTCTTCAAACGAGGCTACGCTTGAGGTTACTCATAAGGCTATAGGGCCTATACGACTATAAGAGGACGGTCCCTTTTGTTATCGAACTCTTTTGGAGACTACATCCCCAAATGCCTGGAGTCAACGGCGGACCGAGGTCCAAATGCATGCTCGAGGGACCATGGGGGGACCTATTCTTCTCGTTCTTTCCCGGAAGCGACGGTGACTGAACCGAAACCAGCTTCAGCTACCGGCACCTGGTGGGTTGAGGAAATTCCAGCTAAAACGGTCATTGATCACTGTGATCTTGAAGCCAAAAGCTATCAGGTTTGCAGACCAATATTCAAAGTAATTGGCCTTTTTGGCTTCCCCAAACCCACCCCATGAGTTGGCCTCGAACATTTTGGTACCGGGCATTCACGCGTGTTCCAGTTGACACCAAGGGCGCAAATAGTTGACACCAAACCACGGCTAGCGCAGTGTTTTCCAACTTGGAATCTTCTTCCAGCATCCCATAGCATCCCCCCCGCCAATGAATGAAGTAGGATCGTCTCTCAGGGGGATCTGCAAAAAGCCCTTTTAGAAGTTGGGAGCTGAAGATGCTGAACACCTTCATTCACCACACAGCTCGGAGCCTCCGCGGCAAGACCGAGGACACCCGGTGCGAACGCGGGGCTGAGAATGCGCCAGGGACTCCAAATGGCTCAAAGCTAAGATCCTCGGACTGATGGGAGGCTGAACACATGTAACAAATAGAACGTCGCCAAGACCCTTGTGACGGGGTTACACCAAGAATGTTGGCGCTTTGAGTCGGCTCAATGCCAGCTCGCAACCACTAGAGTGTGAAGGAAAAAGGACACCCCGTAAAGAAGAGTTGCATGTGTTTTGTCTCGCTCTCTGAGCAATTCCTCGGTTCCCCAACTCTGTCACATAGAAGTCGCAGGTTACCGGCTGTGGTGCAAGTCACACAACAAGATGGGAACCCACATTCATCAACCAATTCCTCACCTCCAGTGGCCCTCGGCCTAGTCTAGCCTTGTCTAAAGCCACAAGCAGCTTTAATGGTGGGATATGGCAGAATTACTGGTGGGGTTTTCAACATGTTTAAATCGGACCGGCTGCCAACCTACGGCTGCGAAGCTCGAAAGACTCCACCCAGCCCCCAAAAACAGTTCCTAGACTCAATGTATGGTATGCCTATATATATATATATACCACCCAATGTAGACGGAAGACCGCCCATAACGGGTCATGTCACCGATGCGTCGTGTTAAATACATGGACCCTGGAGGCGTGGAGCCGGCTGGGATACTCATGTCCAGCGACATGCAGGAGATGTTCTGAATCACGGTGTTGTTCCTCGGACAAAGGTATTTCCATATGGTCCTTCAATGTCATTCCATGTTTCCAACTTCCTCGCAACATGTTTCTTCTGTGTGTTCTAGTGTTGTCAAAGGGTCAAGTGTCCCGTCAGTGTGAAGGTCAAAGGTCACGGAAAGTTTGACCCAGAATTGAAAGACATAGAGGTGAGTTCTACTCAGCTTTGAAAACATTGCTGAAAGCACATGGAGCCTGAAAGCAGAAGCTTGAACAGGGGCGACCATGTGGTAGTAGACCCCAACGAAACACCGGATTATATACATAACCCTGAACATTTGCAAAAACTCCATAGTTGGGGGCAACTTGATTTACATGTTGAAGTGCCAATTCCACTGGGAAGTGCATAGGAACAGTGCTTGTTCCAAAGAAACGACTCTTCCCCAAGAGTCGTTAAGAAACCAAAACCACTGCAGATCGTCGCTGTCACGGCTCGGTCGACTCACGTCCCAGGTGCGGATTGTGCAGCTGGTGAGACGCCAAATCCGCCTGCAAGCACCCATCGGCCAAGCTCAAGGTGATCCGCTCGGCGACCGCGTCCCGCACTGCCACGTAAAAGCCTGAGGTGGTTGAGTTGGGCCGCAGGACGATGTTGGAGAACCATTGTGTAGGCTAAGGGTGAAGGATGCCATTGGATGTCCTTGATTGTAGTTGTGGGCGCTAGCTCTTTTTAACAAGTGATGGTTCAAAAGCATGTTCATCCAAAAGTGCCTCTTCACTCACATCTCCCATGTCTCCAGTGTCCCACATTCTCCGCCTTTGGAGCACTGCGCCAGGCGTGCGCAGCAGTTGCTGCTCAATGCCTCCAGCCCGAAGCACCAAACCTCCGCCATCTGGCCCCTTCGCTCGGCGGCGGTCGCTCCGGGCGCGGAGGGCGCGGACTCGGCTGCTGCGCGCTTGCGGCCCATGGCATTGATGCTGAGGGAAGGATGGTGCAAGGGGAGTGATGGCATTGAGCTAGAAGCACACGTAGGTGCTGGATGAGATGGACATGTAGCTTTTGGGTCACATATGGTCGCACACATACTTTCGTTGAAATTGACCTGGTCACGCTTCCAGTCATGGTGTCACTACAATGTGTTTACCTGGTCGGGCCTACTGTGAGTCCAAAAGTTCAGCCATAAAGTTCAGCCATGGATGGAAGCAAGTGAAAACCGCATGTGCTCCGCATGTGTTGCCACACACAAGGCATGCCAAGAACCGTTTACATCGATCCCACGAACCGGGACAAACATCACACCTCTTCTGATCGGGTGTGGGGGATTTCGCCAGTTCCGGGCCAACAAACATCAACTGATCAGCGACCGCTGTTCACCGGGTGAAGCAACTTGTGAAGGCCCATGTACGTCCTTTTGGTCAGCCATTCTTGCAAACTACTTGGGGCCCCACGAACCATCCAAAAAACGGCGTTTTCCCCTTGGCCAACACACACACACAAAAAAAAAAACACACACACACAATCTGCTTTTAATGCTATGCGAAGAAACAACTGAGGGCGGCTGGTACTTCGAGGGTTCCCAGGGTGGTGCCATGCACTTCCTCCGTCTCAAATCTTCCGTCCTCTCAGCTTTTGGGGCACTGACGCAAGGATGAGCTGGCTTCTGAATGAGAATGAAAAAACAAACACACCCAATGAGAATGGGCCGACACTCCGTGGTCACTTCTACGAATGGGCGTGAGTCAAGCCGGCTCTTCCGGGGCCACTCGTCTCGTCCGAACCCAAGTTCCACGGCCAAGATGGGATGCTCACCACGGCTGGTCGGCACCTCAGGACAAGAAGCGCACAACGTCACACCATGGAGTGAGTGACATCCTGACGAAAGAACTTCTAATGACATCAAACCATGGTGAAACAAACAAAACTCATGAAATACTCTTCCAAATCAACCAACAAACACACATTTCTTCATAATAAGTACTGTTCCAATTAAACCTAATTATATACATCATGAGAATGAATATTGAATATGGGTTTGCTGCTAAGCGGCCCTTGGGACAGTCTGGACTGCATCTTCGGTTTACGATCCACCCTAGAGCGTCCTCACGTACAAACGACCATGGACCCCTTGATGGACAAACGACCATGCCCTATTGAGGCCAGATGGCTTGAAACGCCCCAAACATCCCGCCCACTCTCTCACTCGAAAATGAAGCGGCCTAAAGCGCTCTCACTCTGTCACAGTCGAGAGTGACCTGGTCATCTCAGACTCCACCTGACCTAGCGCTACAGGTCTGGACAGGTCTGGATGTCAAAATGGAGACCTACAGGTCGAAAAGATCGCCCACGCCACGTCAATCCACGCACGCGGTCCGACTCCGTCCGTCCGACGCCTCCGTCCGACGCGTCCTGAGACTCCGCGCGGCAGAGGCGATGGTGGGATAGAGCGCGGACCTGGGCGGAGAGGAGCAGACACCCACGGCGACGAGGTCGATGAAGTGAGGCGATGCTGGGAGAGTGAGGCGATGCTGAATGCCCGGATCTCAACCATTCTTCCCGTATTTGGACTTGCACTAAGGGTCAAAATAGATACTAAAGTGCTAGCAAGGCACCTGTTCATGGTGCAAAGTATACATAGTATATAGAGTACACATCTAAACACATGGTGTTCAGGAAGCGACCAGTAGCATTCTTTCAGAGGGCCTTAAGTGTGCCTTGCTCATCAAAAATCCATTGTTCACAGTTGGTGTTGTGGTAGAGGACAAAACACGTGCACATGCATCAACTCTAGCTAGCCTAGCTGTTGATGCCACTCTCTGACCTGCACAAGTTAAGACTACACATGACTTCACATGCCCTCTGAACTGCCCCCTGAACCTCCGGTTTGGGTGGTGCGATGTGGTGCGTATTGCTGTAAATATGTCTTGTAAGATCATGTGTTGCTTTCTCTCAGTTGCAGCTGGATATCACGAACCTGCCGACTCTCCGCGCCATGCCCGGCACGTGAACCGTCTCTGAGCTCTGAACGGAACGGTCCGGACCTCCGTGCCACTGGCAACCTCGCCGTGGCGAGATGATCGCAGCTGGTCATCGAGACCACAAATCCAACTGACGATCATTGCCCACCTACTGTCCGACATGCCATGCGGTGAATATATATATATATATATTTATTTATTTTTTTTGGTGCCAAGATGCATGACATCTTCTATCTCAACGCCCGCCACGAAAACACGTCTGGTGCGCAGCGCTCTCAGTGCGCGGCCACTCGCTCTGGTTGCTCACGGCTGAAGAATCCGCCTGCCTGGGACCATGGTGAATCCTGAAAATCATACACTCGCGCAAGATACGCCCTGCAAAATGAACATGAAATAAAACCTGAAAACACACCCGGTTTGTAGAGGAAAAAGGTCATCCAGGGTTTTTCAGATTCCATGTTAATCTGAAGTTAATCTTCCGGGTGCACCGAGTATGCGAATATTCTGACTATCCTAACAATATCCAACCTATCTGCAGGTCATGGCAAGTCCTTATTCATGGTAGCGATAAATGATGACCCTTCACCCAACTCACTCCCTAGTTGTTGATATATAGTTGTGAGGTCATATACTTGGATTTGCTGTCCAGGAGCCATGGAAAATGTAAATATTCACCAGGTTCAGTGAACATATGGGAAAATACACAAACACCTGACCCACAATTCACCAGGTGATATAGTAGTTTTAATAGTGACACATTGCATTGCCGCTTGGCCGCTTGGTTGCTGCAGTTGTTGAACATAGCATGCAGTCCACCTATAGTAGTTCCAAGTCTTCCACAAACAACCCCTCAGCGCCTTTTCTTGGACCCCCTTTGCCTCACAGAATCCATGGTTTTTCGATCCGTGATCCGAATGCTTGCCGCCTGATCCGGATAGACACGTGTCCAATGACGACACCCCCCAACCTGCACGTGTCCAATGGGGACGCAGGGTTGGCCAAACTGGAACCAATGCCAAGCTTGAACAAGAACCCCGAGCCCTGTACTCTCCCTGGAACTAACATGGAAGTGGACTTCACCCCCTGTTTGGTATTCGGATTTCATGGTCTTCCGAACTTGGGGCCATGCCATCCACGTAACCATGTTAGTTCCAGGGAGTGTATCCATATGGCCCATGACACCCAACCACCTGGCCTTGTCAGCCATATGGAGTGCCTATAAGCCAGCGATGGCCTGGCGAAGCGCGACGACAATGGCGCCCGGGTGGGCCTGTGGGCCTTTCAACCGGGACATGGATTTTGTCCCACCAAGAATTCATCGCATACCTTGGAGGTCAACCTACCCTGGTTTCGGGCTGGCATGCTACCCTACCTTTTGGCTGGTCATGGCAACCCGGGCCCTGAACTCGGTGGAACATGTCCTGATTCCAGTCGATTCACTTCATCTTCGGTCAGCCAAGGTCCCCCGGGTTTGATCCATTGCCGGATTTGCTCGATGAAGATGCTTCGAACTTCGGTGTTCGATGCTTCTCAGGTGACATGACCGTCTTTGGGCGACGATTTTGGGCCATCTCCTTCGATCATTTCTTCAGGAGTCTTGAGAGGATTGAGCTGGTCCTCCAAGAGGAGCCCTCGTTTCAGTGAATTTTTGGCATGGCAGCAGGGGAAAGACACGCGATGCAGTTTCAATCGATGAACATGAACATAGAGCGGGACGGTTTTTCTTCTGTTATCTCAGTCTCTCTCTTCGGAGGACCCCGTTGGGCAGAATGCAGTTTCTATTCCAATGCGGTTTGCTGGGCAAAGTGAAATAATGGACCAAACATTCCCCGCAGGGCACACAAGAACCCTCAGACCAACATCTTGAGTCACATCATTCTTTGGCGGCTGGCATGCGTATTGACCTGGTGAACATAGCGGAGATCGGGCCCCCTTCAGATTGTAGAGTTCCGATCTCATGTGCTTGTTTTTCTCCGTGATGCTTTGTTCGCTGCGGATCTCCGGCCGGATCTCCGGCCGACCGACGCCCCGCGCAGCTGAGTGTTTCCGGCCAGTTTCAGCTCGGATGGTTCAGCGACGGCTCAACGGGGGGTTTTCACCAACAAGCAGAGGCCAAGCGAGCTCCACATGGAGCATTGCAGTAGCAACAACAATGCATCGGGCATGCGAGAAAGGTCGGCTGTCATGGAATCAAACACTCAGCCCTTCCCTTCCCGAGGATCAAACAGTCACGCTGCAAGTCTGTGAGGGTTCGGCCTACTTACCCTGGAACCTCATTTGGAAGATGAACGCTTCACTTCTGGAATTGTCCGAGCGCCCCCCTAGCATCATCACATCATCTGCTAAAGCTACCTTCAACAAACACCTGCACAAACTGAGACAGTGTGGCGTGCATGGGGCGTCCATGTGGCTGACATCCAAAGTATGCCAATCCCTAGCCTAAGAGTCCAGTCATGAGAGTGGTGGATATGACTTCCAGGTGGGGTGAAATGAGTCAAAACGTAAATTCTGGAGATGCTTTGCTTTTTTCTCATATGTATTTCTCCATGCCTGGAGCCACCTGACCGCACTCGAGTAGTGCCTTTCATTTATGAAGCCGAAAGCCCGGCACAGCCAGCTGAAGCCCGCGCCGCGAAGTCTGAGAATGACCTGTGAGGTTCTTTGGTCAGTCACAATTAGGTCCCTTGCATTGGTGCATTGTCGAAATGCCCAAAAGCCACTAATCCTGCCAAATGAAATCACTTGACAAATGTTGCCTAAACTCTGAAATATGGTCAAGTCTAGAAGTGGTTTCTCCTGTGATAGGATCTGCAAGTGATGCGATTGGCTTGTCAGATCTTGCTAGCGTAGGGATGAAATGGTATCTGGCAACGCTCCATCCTTCACAGTCGCCGCATCAAACAAATACACATACCAAAACAAAATGTTGCTTGCCCCGGACCTGCCCAAGGAACCTGAGATATTCCCCAGAAAGAGATTTACCCACAAGGAGAACAAATAAATCACCTTAAGGAAAACCAGGTACCAATGGTTGGCTTTGCACGGTCATTGCAACCTGTAGAGTCTGCCGGAGGATGCGTTTTCACCGGCGACTGGAACACCGAGCCGCAGCCGACGGCCGCTGCAAGGCAGCTCGAAACGGCTGCATTGCGGCTTGCTGATCAACAACTTGGACTTGCAGCTCCCAGACACCTGGAAAAACACATAGGACCTAGGAGGCAGCCATCTGGTAAGTGGAACCAATCTACTGGTAAGTGGAAAAATAGGTTCAATTGGTTTGTCGGTTTCGGGATTTAACCATGTCGGGAAATTTCAAAAACCTGATAAATACTGATAAGCAAAACCAGGACAACAAGTCAATCAATAGACGTCGTAGGGTTCAAGGGGCGTTTGCTGGGGGCCTCGTCAATGAGGTCAGAATGAACACATCCGCCGACTTGATGACCCAAAGCCACAAAAAAAAAACATCTTCAGACTGCTCTGCACAAATTCACTGTTCTGCCGATGAAAAAATCGTCGTTTCTCCTTTTAAACCTCAAAATGACCGCCAACCCTGCTGGGACGTGCACCAGTCCCAACGAATACTGGAAAGAGGTACCCAGCAAACGTACACAGGATCTGCAAGCACCGCTGGCTGGTCCGAGAAATGTCCGACGCTGGTGTTGGCAGCCAGTCACATCGGTCACATGTCCCGGAGATTTCCGAGACATGTCATGAATGCCCTGCCCGTAGTGAGTTCAGGACGAATAGAGTTGTTGCAAGTTCTGCTTCAAATCTTGCAAGCTTGGTGCAGCTTGGGGAGCCTGGTTGGAGTTGTAACCACCTTGGCATGCGCTTTGGAATTGGCCGAAGCCACCAGAGCTGCCCTGGCACGCTCCGCAGCCATTACAGCCAGCGCCGCATCCACAGCCCTGGCAGGCACCACAGCCGCTACATCCACAACAGTTGAAGCCGCAAGGGTTACAGCCGCAACCGTTGCAGCCACTAGCAAGGCCGCATGCACCGCAGCCCTGGCATCCGCCACAGCCCTGGCATCCCCCACAGCCCTGGCATCCGCCACAGCCCTGGCATCCGCCACAGCCCTGGCA